TCCGATATCAACAAGTATATGTCCCCATCGCACTGTGAACGTTCTCTTTTTATTGCAAAACAAGGTCAACAAAATATCCATTTTTTTCTTCTCCCGTTATTCTTTCTCGGAAATTGCCGCTTTAAAATGGCCTTCATGACATTCAGAGACAAACTGATGCATATGAATAAGTTTTCTTTGCAGCCTATAATTACCCGAGGCGTAATTATTCACCGTTTGCCAACACTGGACGCTACAAAATGAGATTTCTACTAAACTTATCGATGGATCTCTTCTATCGGCGTCCATCTCTTGCAAGACCATCTGTCCGCTTCTGACCATGTGACCGCGAGATTTGGTCGGACATGGGAAAAGATTGGGAGTGTAACACGGATTATATGATGGTATGGCGATTTCAGACACAAGCGTTCTCGGTTGAACCTGTGCAAAACTTGTGTGTTTGCAACAAGAACTTCCGGTCGGCCCGAAAAAAAATCTGACAATTCTCTTTTTGGTGGGAAGGGGACGAGGTTTAGCAGAAAGGACGAAAATTCCCTGCCATATTTGGCTGTCACTTTAGTTCACATTGAATTCCTCTGTTATTTAATCGCAAATATTCGATAGAGATGAAGCTAGTGCAATGATCTTCAAAACACCTGGTATTGTTTGGTGGCTGAGATCGTTTCATATTTTACATTGATGAAAAGTTGGTGTTCATGAAAGGATTTCGAGTACTGATTTTTCTAGACAGGTTGACCTTATCTACTTAGAAGACCGACACATCACAATCTCTATCTTTCGATTACTGTTTTTAGTCTTGTATCTTAAGCCAATGTTAGTAAATTTCAATAAAATCACACGCTAAAAAATGAAATAGTCTTGAATTCGCATCTGAATGTTTGAGGCAATGGAACAGATTAGGAAGAGTAAGGTGCATTTAAGAATAAATAAAGGTAACTTTAAACCTAGTTCAAAAGTTATTTACCAAAAAAACTGAATTCAAGTTTCATTCCTGAATAGAGATGCATTTACTACGATTTTCGAAGTTCTAGGTCGGTAGAAATTAATTGTTACTGTTTTACAAATAAATATGGATGTCTTTTCAAACACGTGAACCGATTAAATAACATTTAGAATAATAAGAAATGATGTCAGATAAAAAAATCCATTAATTACTTCAATTATATAAGCAGGGTTTTTCCATGCTGATGACACAAGAAACTGAAAAATAATTCCGTTGAAAGACGGCAAATGTGTGAAAATATGATCAAAATAGTGAAATGCTGATAGTTTGTTATGAGATTGCAGCCAGAAGAAAGCCATTTCTTAAATTTATAGGAAAAAAATTGTAGACAATTGTGATGATATATTGACATTTGTAGTTTGACATATTGAAAGACATGTTTTTAGATGCTCACATTTTTAATCTGTCAATTGGTTTTAAATGCCTTATGTTATTTGTTTATATTTCTGCGCTGAGGTATTGTAATTATTTACATAATTTACATTCTTCGGACTTCAACTTTATTGCCATATTCACGATGTTTCGGTCGTTGTACGCTCCGGCCTTCTTCAGATGATTGGAATTTCGAACTGAACCTCTTATTTCGTCCACAGGGGTAGATTGTTATAGTTCCACGTGCTATGCCCCGTCCGTATACCTCAGTTATCTCACTTTACCTCAACTCTTCGTTTTTGTTCATCAATGCAGTAGGCAGGTATTGAACTCACAACTCTTCGAGTCAAGTCCAACCAACGCTTTTATATGTTAACTGCGTAAAAAACAAAATCCACTGAAAAAAACAAAAGAAATTCCATTTTCATCTACTGGGTCATGTATCCTCAAGGACACACGACCATTTTGTTTAAAACAGCTACATTTAAAACTTTTTCACATTTCTATTAAGACATAACAGTGTCCAAGACTTTTGCACATTCCTCTTAAGATATTCAACATTTCTTCGATAGTTACTGGTTGCTCATTAAAAATGTCTGCATAAATTAATTTTTTTTTTGTCTGTTCATATCGATTTATAAAACTCGCTAAACTTATATGTCGGTTTGTCTCTACCTGACACTTTGCTGCTATCTCCATCTCTTCATATACTGTTTTATTTATTTTAATGCGTTCAGGCAGAAAGGAAGGCAGTGACATTGGTAGGTAGGCAGGCAGACTTATTAACTGATTTGATTGATTATTTTTAATCTAACCCCTTTAGATACAACGAAAGTTCCCGCATATGATGTACGACGAAAGACGATAGCAGAATACGCCAGCCGAAACGTTGCAATCCAAATAAGAGATGAGGATACTCATATTAATTACAATAATTTTAATTCAAGTAAATACATTATTTTTTGCTTCGTCAAAATTTGAAAACTATTATATGTATCAACTGCTGATGTACTTGCGTATATAGATATATATGCGTGTGTGTGTGTGTGTGTACGCGCGTGCGCGCCAAGACCACACAATACGTTGTTTTGCCGCGGCGTTTGTGGTTAAAATCTGCTTTGCCCACCCTCACGTCTAAATTAGGTACATATTTCATATTTACCCCAGAGATTCGGGTTCGGGTCCTTGGAAGAAATTAGTATTTCGATTGCTTATTTCTGTTAAAAAAAGAAGGGATTTCAAATGTCGATTTTCAGTTTAACTAACGCCCTTTCACTTTGAGAATTGGGACTACACAATCTTCCTATTTAATTTATGATAGTATTTCACTTATTGAATTTTTCCTTCATTCATAAGCCAATTTTTATTTTTGTTTTTAGTGTTTTACTTTTTTGTTTTTTAGCCAGTCAGCATATAAGTTTTGCCAGTTAATTAGCCGCTTAGACAAACGCCGACGCAATGAGCAATTATAAGGTGCTCTTCAAATCTACCGTTTAACCAACGTACAATACGATTAGCCGATCTTCATTAGATTTCCCGTCTCCATCTGTACATCCACCTCTTCCAAGCCGTTCATTTTGGGCCAACTCATAATATATGTCATACCGAGTCATATTAATCACTTCTATTGTTTGCAAACAAAACTAATGACAATATGGTGTTAATATTATCAAATCCAACCAATATTCGCGCGTCCATCTTGTGTCACGCTCTTTTTCCTCCTTTTTTCTTATTGTTTTTATTTCAAAGCCGTTTTTTGTATTTACTTCTTTATAAATAATTTTAGATTTACCATTTGAACAGAAATATTTGTAATTCATGTTTGCATTTGCAATCAACAAGGACTATTGGTTGTCAGGACATTGAATGATATTTGTTGTGCAATAATTAGAGTTGAATTAATCATCCATTGTTGAAACAATGTTAAAACAGATTCAACTCTTATTTTTGCTTATAATGCCATATGTTACTTGAGAACATATGTGATCGTGACTCTCCAAATATGCGTCTTTATTATCTGTGAATTGCCAAACATTATTGGGAGAGTTGGTGGAGTGGTTTCTCGTTGCTTTCTACACAGTTTGGAATTAAGCATTTTCCTTAGACATCCCATTCACCCTAGCATTGAAATCTGGCGCGAAGAAGAAACAGATGGACACATTTCCTCTGGGCATTTGTTCGAAAGTAAACGTAATAAACTAATCCAGAATCTGAACTCGGCTCACTCATTCAACATTCTATGCTGATATCCGTTAAACTACCCTAATATTCTATATAGTCCGATCCTATACTTCAAACCTGTTTTTTTTTAAAACGACCAATATTTGATAAAAAAACGTTTTATCTACGATTTTGTTGTGTTTCTATTAAGGCATGTTATAATTCCTTATCCTAAATTCCTACGACTAAAAAATGCAGAAAGCTGATTTTTTCCAAGTGTTCGGAGCTTAGTAAAATGCATAGTAGTAAGTTCAGGGTCTACCTTATTTTATTTACCATTATACCAGTGAACGGTGAAAACTTCGCAACCAAGAATGCATTCCAATGTAAATCATTTGTAATGTTATCTATAGTCCTAATTTGACTCAGTCAATGAGAATATTTACAAGGTTAACTGCAAAGACATTGTCATTCCCTTAATAATCAATTCTACCCAATACACGTTACATTTGGGATATCCGAAATTTAAATATGTCTGGTCCCAAGGGTTTAAGATAACAGATTGTGTTGCTGTATTTAAAATATGCGGTAAGCATATTATACGTGGGTCAGATAAGTTTTACTTGTTATTGCATAATGTAAACATTTAACTGTCAAGAACAATATTATCGGATAATCCAAGCCAACGGCTCTATTGACTCTACTTCACTCTAGAGCCATGGAGGCCGCATGGACCTCGCCCTGATGCCATGGATGAACATCACCCCGATGCTATGGAGGTCACATGGACCTCGCCCTGATGCCATGGATGGACTTCGCACTGATGCCATGGAGGTTGTATTATAGAAATTGAATTGACGACTAATTGATTGTTACAAAAATAGTGGTTCCGAGATTTATTTAATTTTAAAATTAATCCTCTTAGTCGTGAAAATGACAAGTAACCATCAGAAAGAATTTTATATTCAATTTAGAACCAGTTTTCCCATATTGCAAGGAACAACGGGTGCATTAAATATTTATAAATACAAACAAATAAAAAGACTTGGGAAAGTATTCTTTGTAAAACCTGTATTCAAGAATGTTTATTACTTCGAATAAAAAAATCCTCTCAAAAACATTTCAAGTTTGAAGTGATTGAATTTTTTAACCATTCTATCAGTGAAAATGTTTGTCTTCTCACAAGAAGTAAAGTAAGAGTGTGCAAAATATTTTGGCTTGATTGATTGATTTGTTTTTAACGGTTTATCGAACCTTTTGCAAGTTATTTAATGCCAGAAAATATTTCTAGATTTTAAGAATTTTTGCAGATAATAATGATTTGCTGATACAACTCCTACAAAAACCCATAGCTAGGGGGAGAAAAAGTGAATTCATACTTTTCCCAAGGCTAATTGAACGTAAGCGAATGTAACGAATTCGACTGGAATTGAAACTCTCATCATTCCACCAGCTGCATATCCAGGCTTACAGCACCTGGTATTCCCAAGCGGTTATCCATCTAGGTACTGAGCAGACTCAACGTTGCTTAACTTGGATCGTACCGGAACAGGAGTTTCAACATAATAAGGCCGTAAGCCGCAAAATCAACCAATAATTTTCAATTTAAATTGATGTCACATGAAAGTAAAACTGATAAAACAGATTCCCTTTCAAGAAAATTGAAGAATAACTTAAAACAATGCCAAAAGATATACCCTTCCGAAAAAGGCGGTCAGTCGGAAAGAAGAAAAGGAAAAATGTTCATCGGTGGTATCTCGCTACTACTAAATAAATTTCGATACTTAGCACAAAATTTTTAATTTACTATCAATTTCTCTCCCTTTCTATCTATCTATCTATATATGTGTGTGTGTGTATATATATATATATATATATATATATAAGGAGGCACGGTGGAGTAATGAATAGCGGCTTGTCATTCTCTCTCCGGCTATGGATAAATAGCAGGAAAGACTGGGTTCTATAGCCTTGGATGGCAACTGGCCTAGGAGAAGGACAACACTGAATTCAAAACCTGCGGAGGGTCGTTTGGGAACTTTGTGGCACTTAGTGCACCAGGTTTCTGTATTCGGCACTTCAAAAAGTGTGGATGGTCCTGCACGAAACCTTCACCACTATAATCAAATCTCATGTGCTGTTGTCGGGCTGTCTGGTTCCTGGGAACTGATCTGCTTGATCCTCATACATCGAATCCGGCGGGAGAGTCGAGTAGTATATATATATATATATTTATGCGTGTGTATGTATATATTAAGCATGCTTTTTAGATATAATAGATTTTTCGTATATGGATTTTTAGGTATATATATATATATATATATATATATATATATATATATATATATATATATATATATATATATATATATTCCTGTGGTCGCTGTTCGAACAAGATCAAGTTAAATAATTGCAAGAACTTATTTATTTCAAAGCAAGGACTCAATTTTAGCGAAACACGTCATTCACATTAACTGCCCATTCGTTTCGCCGTATAGAAAGACAAAATAAGCTGATTATATATATATATATATATATATATATATATATATATATATATATAATAAAAAAATATAGTTATAAGGTATGCTATATTTAGAAGTGAAAGTGCTCAATATCAGATGTAGAGCGTAAAAGTGGACACTGGGATCAACACCGTGCGGCGACAGTCTGTTTCATGTTTCAACGCAATCTTCAGACAATGTCCACTTATATATATATATATATATATGGCGGCAGCTGCAAACATATACGTTCGTATCAGCGACATGCCAGCCAGCTCGCATTAGTCTTATGCTCATAAATCTGTGATAGGATATGAAGCTTTGAACACTTTGATTCTTTTCTTTAAATTTTTACAATATATTATTAAGATTTTTATTATATATATATATATATATATATATATATATATATATATATATATATATATATATATATATTTAAAATTCCTATGTCATTTTGTCATATTTTGGGAAGTGAGTCGATTCTAAAACTTTTCATCATCTGCTCATATATACATGTGTACATACATAGAGTCCCTTCCATTCTCAAAGACATACACACGTGTGTTCATACAATCCATGACGCATGACAAACATACTGAATTAATACCGACATTTAGGTAGGAGCAGAAAACGAAATCCCGGCTGAAGTCAGTCCATCCAATCAGTAGAGGCACATAAACGGACCAATCAGTACAGGCCAATGCGCACGCATGCGCATAAAATCCCATCACCCATGGGGATTCCCCGAGGCCAGCCAAGCGGAAAAGAGATCGGAATTACAATTTCATTGTAATTTTATTTGATTAACATTTATATTGAATTTGACAAATAAAACGCAATCAATGCGGCCATTTATTTGCTACGGCAGATAATTTCAATTTTGCGAGCCAATTGGCCAAAAAGATAGTTTCACGTGGTGATCAGTAGATAGGGAAAAAGATGATTAATATTCAGAAAAAGAAGTAGGGATAAAATAGAGGGGGAGGAGTTTCGTAGTTCTGCTTCCGGACTCAGAAGAACAAAGAAAGAAAGAATGAAAATGAAGGGAAAATAATGTATTAGTGAAAATGAAGGTAAAAAGGGGAAAACTGAAAAAAGATGTAAACTGAATGAAGAAAAGATGAACTGAAGGAATTAAAAGAGCAAAAGTGAGCAAATAAAAATCTGAGGAAAAGAAAGTTTGAAAAATGCATTATTATTATTATTATTATTATAAAAAAGCAGAAATATAATTTTAATAGAAAAAAAAGTATTCGAAGTTAAAAGAATGAGAAAGAATGAAAAAGAATGTGAAAGAAGAAAAGGAAAAAGGAAGAAGGTTGGCAGTGGTGAATGTGACAAGATGGCGAACAGCACTGACCTTGCACTTTTTTCAGCAATGACTGTCGGCCAGCCATCCTGCTCTTCGGTATGAAGGTAATCCATCAAAAATTACTCATGGCGAATTATTTTGTAGTTATCGCTAATGAAAGATGTCGTGATACAAATTGAAAAAGAAGCAACGCCAGCTACCATCCACCCATCGCCCAGCAAAAATCGCTTCGGCAAAAATTCTGGATTTCTTTTTTCGTTTTATTTATTCGATTTTTTTCTTTCTCTGTATTTATTCTTGCCATCTGATTTTCTGGGCGCATCTCAGCGCATATCTGCTTTTCCACCATTTTGAATGTGTTCTTGCAATCGTTTTTATTCATTGCATTGGCAGTAAATGTTGCAAAGACATCGAGGGAAGGACAAAGAGAGTTTCATTATTTGTGGTGTTGTTAGTATTATTATTAGTGATAGTATTAATGATTTTATCTTCTCGGCAGTCGCTTTTTTTTGTTGAACATCATGTGACAACAAATCTTCTTCGCCAACTTCACTAATATTTCTCATCACCTCTGTATTCTTCAATTCTTTCCACGATCCGACTTTTATGCATTTTCATCTTACATCAGAGGCATCTGTTGAATGACATTCAGGACCGAGTGACAACAAAGTAGAATGAAAACCACATCAGGGTATTAGTAATATTAACATTTTTGTTATATTTATAATTTATTATAATCATTAGTATCAGTAGTAGTAGTAGTAGTATTAGTAGTAGTAATCTTTTTACAGTTTGTCATGAGTGTCTTTACGATTTTCTTTTTTTTTTTCATTGTCTTACTGTTCGTCTCGAGATTGTTGACAAAATCTAAAGTGTCTGTAATAAAATCGATCTTAACCAGGCATCTCGATTTCATTCACTTTCTCGCTGACTTTTCTCACGTTACTTTTCTACAAATATTTTAAGGGCAACTGTTTTGATGAGTTTTTTTCCCCCTGGTTTTAATGTTTAAGGAATTTAAGCAATGCTGCTAGATTGGCATCTCGGTTTCGCCATTTTTCTGTTAAACTAGCTAGATGCAACAACACTTCTATTCTAACAGTTTTTTTCTCTTACTTATCACCCATGGAACTCCATTTCGATTATTTGCTTCCCTGATAACTAAAATCTTCAAAAATTTAAATGCTACGTCACTCGCCATCTTGTCTTCCTGGATCCTGTTCTTTTATTGTACTTTTCTCACTCCTCCCCACTAAAATCTTCTCATTCTCTTTCACTCCCATGTAATCTCCTGGGTTTTCTATTTTCCCCAGTTTCACTCATATTTTTTATTATGCTTTCTTTTCTAAGATCAGAAATACAAAAAAGGGCAGATTGTCCTGCACCCACAGTCATAGTGGAGTTGTACAAACCACTTAGTTACGTGGTAAAACTTTACTATTATGAGTAGGAATCAAGCTAGGCTGATTGAAGCTGCTGCTAGTTAATTGGTGATGTTATTGTGCTCATCGAAGAGAGATGATTTGTTAGTCATCAGCATTCATTATTCTCTTAATATTTATCATTATCTATAACTATAAAGACGATGATAATTTGCCTGTTTGCGTCATATGGCCTAAGGTCTGAAAATTAGTCTACAAATGTAACTTGAGTAAAAGATGAACGTGGGCTAGGTGACACTGACCTTTGACGTCACTCGAGATCACTAAAACCAATTTAACATCAGAACAGTTGATTAGAATTCTGGCGTGAGAATACAAATGCATAAATAATAATAATCATAATCATGATAATAATAATAACAATAACAATAATAATAGATATGTTCACCTATCGTCCAGTTCACACTGCTTCCCATTTCGCTTTTTTAACAGAATTTGACGTTTATCATTTGTTTCCTGTTTAGGATTGGGCTTCCAGTTTCTTATAAAATCTACTTCAACTCTATACTTCTAACGTCTCCACCTAAACTCTGAGATTTTATTTACTATTTATTTATTTTCCTTCAATAGGAGTAGATAGGTCCGCTTATCGCCCGGATCACACTCTTTCCTGGTCTTTTGAACAGGAATCGAGGCTTATTCCTTGTTTCTTATTTAGGATTATTTTTCAGATCCCTTCTAAAGTTTTCTCTTTCGCTTCCAGTAGCCCCTTGCATCTTAATGGCATTATCACCTTTGTTGGAGTGAACTGATTAAAATAATAATAACTATATGCGAAAAAATGAAGCAAATAATCAGGGAATTTAACAAATTTACCCAGAAAACATAGGCCAGATTGAGTAGGCAAATAAATCCACTGGGATTGTGCAAGCAGTTGCCCTTTGACTATAATGAGCCAAGGTTAGTGTATGTATGTGTGGGGTGCTTAAAGATTCAAATGGATCACCCAATCCAGACCAGAGCTGCTAATTGATAACAAGAAAACCTGCCTGATAGTGAAGTTCGTTATTCTTGTAGACCCTGAAAAAAATGAAAAGTATCTCGACCTTGTTTGAAAAATGAGTCAGTTTTCAAATATGCAAGTGACAGTAGCTCCAGTAGTTTTTCAAAGCGTTGACAGCAGTCCCCGAAGAGGCTAGAAAAAGACAGGAGAAACTGGAAATCATGGGAAGAGAAGTGACGATCTCGTTGACAACATGACTAAAAGCGGTTAGAATACTGATGAGAGCTCTAGACTTCTGCAGGAAACTTGTTCTTCCTTTTCAGTAGACTGCTGGTGAAAACAATAATAATAAATGTCATTTGTTTTTCTTTT